ATTGCAACCTTCTTAAGCAAAAATAAAATTAAAAAGGGTATTTGACAATTCAGTTGATATTTAGATATCTAAACAACAAAATGAAGTTAGTATTTTCACTTAGGTAACAAGGAAAAATGAAATATTATAATTTTTGTTTTAGACAAACCTCGTGAATAATTCATATTCCCTTGGATTTCAGAACTATGAGGGCTATTAAAGGCTACCATTTAATTGACATTTCCTCATGCTTTTAAATAATTGACAAGATTAAGGGGGGGATTTAAAGCAATTAAGCCAACGAGATACAAACCCATAAGGCATTAAAAAAATAATGCTAAAAAAATTAAATTTACAAATACTGAAATTAACTCTATTGTTTCTAATAGGTAAATGAGTAAGTAGGTAATTTTTAAAGCCTATTGAGGTATTTAAAATGATTGGGAGAGGATATATTTTGTGCCATTGATGGCAACTTGCACACCTGCTAACGCGCTCGTCTCTGAGGTCGGGGGCGGGGGGTGGGGTGGGGTGGGTGGGGTCATGGAATTCACGTCCACGACCAACTTCACTGATGTAGTAGTCTGGCCGGTAAATAGAATAGCGGAAATTTGTGTACATCAATAGGTAAGCTCCTTGATGTTAAAAAGAGTGTTATAGTCTTTTATTTCGATAATAAATTTTCATTTTCGTCCCAGGTTATATTTCAATATTTTCAAACGGCAGGCGTTTTGATAGCCATCATTAGCCATTTAGCTGACTTCGGGATTCACAGAGGGAAGATTCATCAAATTAGAAGAAAGTCAAGGGGCGGGGAACAGAAGAGCGATTCACAGATGTGAAAGAGTCAGACACACACAAAGGCGGAGAAAAGGCGACATGAGAACCATGGAAGGGGTCGGATATGACATACAGTGGGGCCATGGTAGTTTGAAGTGAGAAGTCAACTGTCGGTTATTAGACTTTTTTGCCGTATGAGTATACGTTTCCCAGGGTGCACCACGTGGAGATAATTCATCACGATTGGAAGGTTCACTATCTCTAAAATTTGTCTCAATAAATTATTGTTTTATATTTAAGATAATTAATATTAATCAAGAAATCAATTAAACGAATAATTACTAAATAATATGTTAAATGTGCTATGTTGGTGTCATTATATTTACCAAATAAAGCAACTAGTCATGGTGCTGTTGGAATTCTTCAGACAAAACTGTATTGACAATGAAAATACAGCATTAAATTCCTTTAAATGAAAAAAAAATACGAGAAATTTTTTAAGCAACCAATAGGCAGTAAATAGAGTTTTATTTTTACATTTGATGCCTCAGAGGCGGTGGGTAATATACTCGGCTAAGCACAACAGGAAAATCATATTTCCTTTTAATGTAGCCCATACATGAGACGATTAATAGTAGAATCTTGACTAAAAAATAGTATTTAATTACTTTTAAAGAAATATACATCTTAATTAGCCTAAGTTTTAGTATCCAGTGTGGATTTCTTCTCGGGGTACTTGGAGTTCAATTGCTACTCCAACGCTTTTCTATTTCAAGTTAAGTAGTCTTTTTTGATAGTTAATTATTATTGTAACGTATTTAAATTCACAGAACATAACCCCAAGAGACATTATAGAGAGCTTGTCTGATGTGGTGCGCCCAGGTAATTTAGCTCAATTACAATTGACAAATTGGAAATCTTTGATGATGATGATGGAGGTTAGGTAATTTCGATTTGTTATTGTGAGGCATGAAACTGATAGCCCAGATGTCACAAATATTTTTCACTTATTCATTTTCAACCTAATATCAACATTTTAAACCATCGACTTTTGACAACCCTTTAGTAGGTATCTTCCCAACAATTCCTCTGAGAATCCAATGCAACACTATAATAATAATAAATCCATGAAATATTTTTTTTTGCCAAACAAAACAACGTTAAATATGCGAGCAGTAGATCCAAATAATAATTCGATTTTCGCATTTGGCAAGATGTATGTGATAAGGTGATGAAATGTACATGCCAAGAAGTTGCAGCCACCCCCCTCCTCCCCCCACCTCCTTCCCCCTCCCCCCCTCCCCACCCCCTCTATTTGGTCGTATATATTTTTGCGTTGGTGTTTCTTCTTCTTCTTCTTCTTTGCCCGTCAGTGTTAATCAGATTTAGCACGAAATGAAAAAAAACATAGAATGTTCATTTAATACGCTTTCTTTACACTCCACAAAATCGATAAATCTCAGGAAATGGTTTTAACAAAATTCTTATTAATTCAATAGGAATTTTTGTCTCCCCATCTAATGTGGAAATATGTTCCAATGGCTTATTAGCTTCTTCATAGTTCAAAATTTAATTAAAACCTTTTAATATTTCTTTATAATATTTTGACGATTAGGTAAGCCTTAAAACTATTTTAAAATTACTGGGGACTGTATGCTGAAACAATAATCTACTATTTAGCGCTATAGAAACATAGTGATTTCCTCTTTCCCTGTTCATTACTGGCGCCAAACAGGCAACAGATGTTTAAAGGGCAGAAGTTATACATGAATGCACTTTTAAAATTATTAAAGTACATAACCCCCGAACAAAGCAAAGCTGATTGTAATGTCACAACATGTGGGAATAGGCTTCAGATAATGGAGAAATAATCATTTAAATTATGCTTTGATTAAAATATCATTTCCTGTAACAATAATAATAATAATAATGACTATGCAAAGTAATATACATTTTGTTCAAGAAAGAAAGAAGGTCCAATTCTAATTGCCCTTTTCAAAAATTTCCTTTACACTGTTTACACGCTCATTTTCATAAATGACTCAAGACAACTGTTGACATTCCTTTCTAATTTTATTGCAAAAAAGTTAACAATAGGCAAATTTGAATTGTGATTAGTAAAGATATTCAATTATAAAACATTATGCTTATTGCTAAACCCCCCTTTCTAATAATTAATTTTAGACATTATGGAACTCATTTAAACTAACACGTATTTTGGTGATGGGGGGGGGGGTGTAAACGGGGTTGCCTGGCCCTTCAGATGTTATAAGTCCAATTCCTGCCAGCGTGCATCCTGTGAGTGGAAGCATTACTGTCCTAATCAAGTTTAGCAGAATTCCAGGCCTATAGATTTGATTTCACTCAAAATGAGACCGGAATATGGCATTTAATAGTTTTCAGATGAATTTCTTCCGTTAGTAAATCTCGATTAAATTAACTTAACCACCTTGAAAATTTTTTTTTTAAGGAAAGCATTATTAACATGACGAATTCCAAGTAGGATTCAAATCTTTGGTATATAAATTTTTTATAAGAAAGGTTTTAATTAAGAGCGCCTTCCACAGTGTAGGCGCATTTCAAGAGCTATCACTCTCCAGATTCGAAGGGGAATTAGAAGTACAATATTTTATATATGACTTCTGTTTTAAATGATTTTGGAGGTTTCTTCGAATGCTTATCTCTAAACACTCCTTTTTCGAATTTCCACAAGTCTCCCCTACTTTCATGGGAATATAGCGTGACAACATAGACAGAACGCATTTTCGAAATTGTAAAATAAAGAACAATTTTGATGAAAACCGTTGATAATTGTGCCAAGAAACATGGCATATTTGGCTTCTCTATGGAACTTCTTTGGACTAACAACAAAATCATAAATATGAAAAATTTTGTACTTCAATCTATTTTTTACATTTTAATTAAGATTTACATTTTTAATAAATCTTAAAATTTTATAACAGTTTCCGGTATACTGAATATAAAGATCTTTGATCTAGTGGCTGAATAGAATATTTTTTTGGAGTTAGAAATCTTAAGAGTTGTGAATTTTGATGATTGAATCTCCGTTGTGAAGTTGAAGTTAAATCGATATTTTTTAAATATCAAAATACCTCAGAAAGTGATGAAAGGTGGATTTGAATAAGATTATGTAATGAAAATGAAAATTCAAGATTTTAACTTGCTTTGAAATTAAAAAGCAAATACTTTTGATTTATTATGACTGCTTGTTACAAAGTTCGATTTTCGAAACTTAGTCTTTGAACGTGTCTTGATCGATTCATTTTCAAAATATATCCGCCAGTTGTTAATCCAGTTGAGTGGATGGACACACAAAGTTGACTGATTGACTTTCTTCAATCTATAAATTGATGTACTAAATTAGCAGGGGTATTGAAAGCATCGATAATAAATCCGAAATTCATTTATGGTAAGCTTTTGCATTGGTAAGAAATATCCTCTCTCCGCAAATTATAGAAACTGAAAAAAGTCAATCGATTTTTACAGCTACATGCATATAATCAGGACCGATCATTTTGGCCCCCTATTTCAGAACTCAACTAGGGAGAACTTAATATCAGCTGTTATGGTAATTGTTATTAATTTTATGCAACGAACCAAATTATCCGGGCTTGAAGTGTTCCAATTTGTGATATTTTCCAAGTCTGATGCTCCTTTTTTGGGTCCGTATCCTCAATTCCAAATAGAATATCCCATCAATATGTTTACCCCAGGTTATTCGGGATAAATAGCATATTCTTATCAGGAAAATGGAAAATGTGTTAACCACAAAATCTCATAGACTCAAGAATTATAAGGGTTCCGCACACAGAAGTGCCCGTCTTAGCTTCAATCTGACCCTATTTAGATGGCCAAATTCAAAATATGTTCCTCTTTAATAGACTAGATCACCTCTTCTTTATTTTGCTATGGTTTTCATCCTGCTCGATGGCTTCCACGTTGAGAAAAACAGTGTTTGTGCTTCACTTGGCTTAGAATATACCTTATTTTAATTTGACTACGATCTTCAGAGACCTATTCTTAGAGGAATTGAATGCAAGTTTCCTAGAAGAGGTTGTACATGCGCAAATAGATCAGATCGTCTGCTATATTACCTTTTCTTTCCCACAACATCCTTATAGCTTCTATTGCTATTCTCCAGTCTCTATTCTCTTTTCATTGTGTTCAAGAAGAATTAAATAGAGACCATCATCTCCTTTTTATACCTGCCATGAGTCATAATGATGGGATTTAATCTCTCCAATGATTTGGATGGGTTTGGATCTTCCATTCACTCTGCCATCGAGCTTTTGAAAGAAGGAAAGTTCAAATTTTTCAAGGATGAGTAGATATAGAACATCCTGAAAATAAAAAACAATCCAATTTCATTCTGTTAAAGTCATCCCTAACACTCTGTGTGTATGTGGTGATATCATTAAGTCATATATCATCTACGATTCATGCTCTTATCCGACCAAGTTCCCATATCTCTGTGTTTGGTGACTTCAATCTGGCCGTTGTACAAACCTCAGATAAGTCGTACCTGCAAAGTTATAAGTTTTATGTTTCCCACTGGGCAATTGATTCCTCTCTGACAATTGTAGAGATGAACATTAATCGAAATCTTGATTATATTATAAACAAACATTTTATACAGAGCATTGGAGCATCCTGCCATTAATTAAAAATAAGCATATGACTCATCACATAATTAGACAACCAAAGACAATTGAAGTCTCTATAATATTGATTTTAAAATCCCTAATACGCATTTTGGATTATAATTAGATATAGCATATAGACGTGTCCACTGAATCCCAAACCCAGGGGCATAATTAATCGTAAAAGATGAAATGACCCCCACCAACCTTTAATTAAAACATTCGTTCTAGAGTTGGAAGATCAATTTCAAAACAATGCACCACCGATGTGGAAGGTGTTGACGAAGAGGCGTCCTCTTCCTCCGCAATGAGCCTTAACGTGGCTAACTCTCCAGCTCAAGCGGGCGATCGCCACATAAGGAGTCCTCACGGAGTCACGAAGCAGCGGCTTAACAGTGTCTCCTCAGGAGCGAGCATTTCCAGTTCAATACGAGGACGACTAGCTGGAGTTAGTGGTGATGTGGGAGAAGAAGTAAATCAAAGTTCCACAACTTCCACAGAAGCAGCCAGGCGTCCACAGCGAGTTTCTGTAGCAGGGCGGGGCACTCCCAAATTATCCTCTTCCTCAACTGCGGCAGTGGTTAACCAAGAAACTGCAGAAGTCATTGAAAAGGAGAAACAAGAAATGGATAGGGAAACCCGACTTGAAATGTGAGTTATGATGACATTAAGATTTTAAGAGCCCATTTGAGAAATTCATTTCGAATGGCAGGCATTTTGATAGCTACCATTAGCCCTTAGCTGACTTCGAACTTCACAGAGGGGGAGAAACATCAAAGTTAGACCGAAGAGTGATTTGCAGATGTAAAGGAGACAGACATAATGATAGAGAGTAGGGTAAAGTGAGCACTGTAGAAGTGATAGACTAAGACATACAGTGGGGTCATGGAAGTTTGAAGCGAGAAGTCAACTGCCAGTCAATAGACTTTTTGCCGTATGAGAATACGTTGCCTAGGGTGCACCACGTGGAGGTAAGTCTATCACACACCCCCCATTTGAGAAATCTACCATTTTTTAGTTGAAACAAAAGCTTAATAAACAAATATTTAATAGCTTAATAAACAAATATTTAATAGCTTAAGAATTAATGTGCAAAATATGATGGAAATTATTACATATTCCTATAGAGGTATTTAAAAATAACTTTTGATTGGAATGAAGTGTTAAATTGCAAGAATCTGGAATTGGCATATCAATTATTGCTACTTTTTCATCCTTTTTAATAACGTTTGCTATCATGTTTATCGATAAATCAAATATTTATTCTACTATCAGCGTTGACCAAAAAACGTCGATTAGCCATTTGAATAATTTTTCATATAGTGTACCAAAGCAAGGAAGAATATGAGATTGAAATTGCAGAAAAGATTTGTTCCAACTTTCCACCCTCTCCCTCCCCCTCCCCCTCCCCCTCACCCCCCCCTCCTCCTCCCTAGAACACACCCCCCATCTGCATTAGTAGACTTAAGAGGCAAATATTTAGTGAAATGCCACAAATATGTCAACTAAGTGTCTACTATTAAAAACGCAACCTTTAAAAGTTGGAAATACCCACACCCCACTTTATTTTCCATTAATCTAATTTTAACTTAAAATTGCCTTATTGTATAATAATTTTCCTATGCATTATTGGGACTGGAGAAAAAAAGGCATTATAACTTCTCGAGGCAATTTTTTCCCATTTAGCCATTAATTATTTTTTTTAATTGCCCTCAAAAAATGTCACATGCTCTAGCAGAATAAAAAAAGGTTCTAAATGAGCGATTTTGGTTAGAGTATTTGAAGTAGTCTGCTTGAAAAATGATATTTAGAGATGTGCACTTTTATTCGGAGTCCACTTTAAGCGAATTAAGGCAGAATACGGGAGGTAAAATTATCCTCTTTTCCCATAGGAATGAGAAATTAAGGCAAAATTATACAAAATAACCTCAAAATAGTTAATGTATATATATATGTTTCGTGGGAAAGACAGATAAATGTCCTCGATTTCAAGTGAAAAAGAAATTGTAAAATAATTTTGTAATTTACTTGGTAGCTCAGATGACGGAAAAGATGCAAAAAATGAAAAGGAAGATGGATAAAATGTTCGTGATTCCTCCCCCCCCACCCCCACCCCCCCATATATGGCTCTGAAATAAGAAAAATAAAAACAATATTATTTTTTTATATGTCATTCCACTTTGATTCAATTTTAAAATATGATTTTAAAAATAAGAAACTTTCTAAAGCTTTTCTTCCAATCTGAAATGTTGACGTTAAGGTGTTTAAATGGGAAAAATTAATTAAAATAATTCAATGATAATAATTACTTCCTTTTAATGAAATAAATATTTGATGATATGCTTTCTTTATATTTTTTTCAGGGTAAAAATGAGCTTTGTCTAAGCATAAGTCCAATTTCACCTATTTTGACTTTTTAAAAATGGACATTCGTTGGGGGAAAATATTACTTAGGCATTATAAGCTAGTCACTTATAATGCATCGCGCAGTACCCCAGTTTATTCATATCAAATGGCTGGGGTTTTGATAGTTATCATTCGCCTTTTAGTAGACTTCAGGTTTCACAGAGAGGGGGGGGGGAGTGAAATGAACATCAAAGTGGAAAGAAGTCGTGAGTGGGGGGGAGCAGAAGGGTGTTTCAAAGATGTTAAAGAGTCAGAGGGACACAAAGGTAGAAAAAAGGTGAGGTGAGTACAGTGAAAGTGGTGGAATATAACATACACAGTGGGGTGATGGTATTTTAAAGACAGAAGTCAACTACCGATTAATATAGCATACGTTGCTCAGGGTGCACCACGTGGAGGTAAGTCTACTGCGCATCCTGCACCCTAGTTTTTGATCTCTGTGTTTCAGAGCTTGTTTATGACCTTAAATTTTAAAGTTTGACTGCTCTTAGACTTAATTGAGTGGACAATATGTCGTATGGCAGGCAAATTGAAAGTATTATAGATCTGTCAGTGGGTTCAATAATGGTTTGACAAGGAACATATGTTAACTACACGAGTCTAAAAAAGACGAGGCACAAATAATCAGATTATTCAGATGCAATTGTACGTTTGTTTCAACATTGCAAACATTTTCCTATTGTTGCTCTCTCTCTCTCCTCGTAATTCCGCTAAAATCTACTTATTAGTTCTAGCGAATCCGCTTTATTTTCATACTGTCAATTGAGAATTCACAGCAACTAATTTATCGTTACTCCATTGACGTATATTCAATCTTTTCTACTAACTATGTATGATTGAATAATGTGGATATTGTAGATTTCGATGCTCAAGTCTTCCTTATTTTCGCCATGTATTTATTTATTTCAAACGGCAGGCGTTTTGATAGCTATCATTAGATATTTAGCTGACTTCGGGATTCACCGAGAGGAGGAGGAACATCAAAGCGAAAAATAGTCGACAGGAACAGAAAGGAAGAGGAACACCAAAGTGGCAAAAAGTCGAGAGAGGGGGACAGAATAATGATTCACAGACGTAAAAGAGACAGGCCTTCACAGAAGGAAGGTTCATCAAAGTAGCAGAAAGTCCAAGGGTTGAGGGAAGGTGCATCAAAGTAGCAGAAAGTCGAGGGGTAGAGGACAGAATAATGATTCACAGATGTAAAAGAGACAGACAGTCACACAAAAAGCATACCAAAGGTAAGATGAGTACTGTGGAAGGGGTCGAATATGGTATTCAATGGGATGATTACTTTAAAAGAGACAGACAGACAGACACAAAGGCATAAAAAGGGTAAGATGAGTACTGTGAACGGGGTCGAATATGACAAATAGTCGGGCCATAGTAGTTTGAAGTGAGACAGAAAGACATAAATGCATAAAAAAGGTAAGATGAGTTCTGTGGATGGGGCAATAGTCGGCTCATTGTAGTTTGAAGTCAGAAGTCAACTGCCGGTTGATAGACTTGTTAGTTTGAAGTGAGAAGTCAACTGCCAGTTAATAGACTTGTACCGTTAAAGTAATAGAGTGGGGTGATGGTAGTTTGAAGTCAGAAGTCAACTGCCGATCAATAGACTTTTTGCAAGTCAGAAGTCAACTGCCGATCAATAGACTTTTTTGTCTTTGAAGCTAGAGTCAACTGAAGGTAGAAAAAAGGCGAGGTGAGTACTGTGGAAGTGGTGAAATATGACATACAGTGGGGTGATGGTAGTTTGAAGTCAGAGGTATATGACATACAGTGGGGTGATGGTAGTTTGAAGTGAGAAATAGGTAGAAAAAAGGTGAGGTTAGTACTGTGGAAGAAGTCGACAGTAGAGCAAAGGTGAGGTGAGTACTGTGGAAGGGGTCGAATTTGACATACAGTGGGGTGATGGTAGTTTGAAGTGAGAAGTCGAAGAGAAAAGGTAAGATGAGTACTGTTGAAGTGGTCGAATTTAAGAAAAAAGGTGAGGTGAGTACTGTGAAATGGTCGAATATGGACAAAGGTGAGGTGAGTACTGTAAAAATAGTCGAATATGATATAGAGTGGGGTGATGGTAGTTTGAAGTCAGAAGTCAACTGCCGATCAATAGACTTTTTGCAAGTCAGAAGTCAACTGCCGATCAATAGACTTTTTTGTCTTTGAAGTCAGAAGTCAACTACCGTACAGTGGGGTCATGGTAGTTTGAAGTGAGAAGTCAACTGTAGGTGAGGTGAGTACTGTGGAAGTAGTCGAATATGACACAGTAAGGTAAGATGATTACTGTGAAAGGGGTCGAATATGACATAAGTGAGGTGATGGTAGTTTGAAGTGAGAAGTCAACTGCCTTAGTCGAATATGACATACAGTGGGGTCAGAGTCAACTGAAGGTAGAAAAAAGGCGAGGTGAGTACTGTGGAAGTGGTGAAATATGACATACAGTGGGGTGATGGTAGTTTGAAGTCAGAGGTATATGACATACAGTGGGGTGATGGTAGTTTGAAGTGAGAAATAGGTAGAAAAAAGGTGAGGTTAGTACTGTGGAAGAAGTCGACAGTAGAGCAAAGGTGAGGTGAGTACTGTGGAAGGGGTCGAATTTGACATACAGTGGGGTGATGGTAGTTTGAAGTGAGAAGTCGAAGAGAAAAGGTAAGATGAGTACTGTTGAAGTGGTCGAATTTAAGAAAAAAGGTGAGGTGAGTACTGTGAAATGGTCGAATATGGACAAAGGTGAGGTGAGTACTGTAAAAATAGTCGAATATGATATAGAGTGGGGTGATGGTAGTTTGAAGTCAGAAGTCAACTGCCGATCAATAGACTTTTTGCAAGTCAGAAGTCAACTGCCGATCAATAGACTTTTTTGTCTTTGAAGTCAGAGGTCAACTGCCAGTTAATAGACTTTTTTGCCGTATGATGAGTATACGTTGCTCAGGGTGTACCACGTGGAGGCAGGTCTACCGCGCACCCTAGTCTCACCATGTATTATTCACTTTCTAAGTCATATCTTGCTTAATTTTCTGCTTTTCATTATTGATAAATAATAGTGTCTCATCAAACAGTCTTCCCAAATTACTTAACCATTCTTCCCAATTTCACTGCAACCTATACAATTCAATGGAATAAGCCATTCCAATGTTTTTTACAGCCCTTCTACTCCCTGACTTAGGTCTCGTTTACTAGCCTTTGCAATTTTTGCATTATTTTGGGAAATATTTTTTTAGTCAGAAGAATAAACTTGAAGTCATTTCTTTCCAGTGCAAGGGGGAGAGAGAGATTTGTTTTGAACGGAAGTCATTGCCTATCTATGACTTCCGGTCGCGCATAGCAGCGTGTGGATACAAGACTTCCGCTCATTATCCTTTAAGATAAAATTGCAGCCAAATTGCAGCAGTCATTTTTCAAGATCATGAGAAAAATGAACAGTAAAGTTGGCAATTTATGGCGTTTGTAATTCAAAATAAGTTGGATAATTAAGCATTTTGCAAAAAATAGTCATTTATATTTCATTTGAAAACTCTCCCATTGCTGTGCATTTTTTATTTAAATACAATGTACCACGATTCACTTAAATTATACCAGAATGACAAGAAATTAAAATAATGCATTCTCAAGAATGAAAACTATTTATATAAAAGGACCAGTGAACTACTTCAAAATCGAGTAAGGCATTAATAATTACTAGGTAATAAGTTGAAAACTGTGCTTTTTCCATATTCTCAAATGGAAAAAATGTATCTTTTGATGTCTTAATACTTTATATCCAACATAGAATAGTCAGGGATATTTCTGAGATAATGCAATTGGATTATCGATCGAATTTTTCTTGAATATTATGTTCTTAACTATTCCAACTTAACACCAACAATGCTAACACTTCCCACTTTCCACCGACTTAACTAAAATATTTTTAGATGTTGTATTTTTTATTTTAATTGCCAAATGATCGTAGAAACGAAAAGACGTTGGGAATACAGAAATGCTATCAGGGAATCTTACCTCAACTGGTCAAGAACTAATTAATGCTCCAAATATGTGTTGGTTTGGGAATCCTCCATTGAATTCTGTCCACATTTCTTTCTTCCTAAAAGTAAGAAAGAAGATTTATCTTACATGATGTTGACAGTTGAACCTCTCTTAAATTAGCATTGCAGTATTAAGTGATTTCAATATATATATATATATATATATATATCAAAGGGATGTTTACTAATTTTTTGAAAATTAAAATTACTATTAAAATCTTATTTATAGATACGTCTTTGTTGTTCGATGCATCGCTTATCCATTCCATGCCAAATTGTCGACGGAACCTGTAAAACGATATTTGAAAGTAACGAAGAGCCAATTGACCGCTCTTAAGGGACGATTCCAATCATTCCTAAATGGGGAATTGGATATAGTTGGTGACGAGGCCTTTATAAACGCTATTCAAAGCTACTACGATGTAAGTTTAAATTTAACTTACGAGCCATTTTTGTTTAAATTGGATGTTCAGGCATTAAATTCAAAACCCAACGAATGCATATTTGAAATTTATCTTCGCCAAGGCTATTTGGAATATGTATACATATCGTCCGTTGTAGGGAGACTATTAGAATTTATTTATCATTTATTAAATTTGACAATATGATTTTGTACTTTACATGGGCATTGGTTAATTGCAAAACGTTCTTGTCGAACCGAAATAAAGGAGATATCAATGAATTTTTTTGCATTGGCTTACTAATTGTTTAAGTTTTAAGTACGATTAAAATTAATTGGCAATATGTTGGTCATATTTATTATATAAACGCAAAGGTAGCTATTCTTTTTCATTACATTGTACTGAATTCAAAATTGCGATACACCATATTTAAAATGAAGGAATGCCTTTGCGTTCTCTTTTGTTCCATTAAGTTGGCTCATGAATGTTCAATAGATGATTCTATGACCAAGTCAAGCTAATTAACAATCCATTTCAATAGTTGTTACGTGTGACCCCCACCACTCCAAACCAGCCTCGCGTTCTCCTGATTTGATCCAAGTTTGTGGCTAGAACAGAAGATCAATATACTTACAAGAGACGCCTCTATGGATCACCTAGTAGGATTCTAATTGTGATATTACTTCGGATTGGAGTGACTTTACAGTTCTTTGTTCTAAGATCCAATTAAATAATTGTATCAAAATAGTTAATAAAAAATAAGTCATATATATGTATATGCATGAGTACAGTTCATTCTAATATAAAACGACGAAATAGGGCAGCAGTAATGGGTATGAACTTGCCGCCAAAAATGTAATAATTAATTTTATGCATCGGTAAACGCTGCTCACCATATTTAATTGTTTTTTGACCTTTTTATTAGTATGCTACATAATATAGATTTTGGCTTTATATTTTTGAGTGTTACGAGTTATATTTTTTACAAAGTCGAATATTCACACTTTGATGGCCTTTAAAAAATTATTATTGGTATTGATTAGCTGCAGGAGAAACAAAGAAACCAATCTTTCCTTATTGAAAGTCAGTAAAATCGACCAACCTTAAACCGAAGATGCAATCAATGGAATAGTTTCGAATCGATGCTTTACGCAACATCAAGATGCCATCTGATTTTCGACTTCGGATTGTTTGATGCTGAATTAGTTCGCATCCAGCAAACTTAAGATTTAGCTATGCTTGGAATATGAGACACAGTGTGTATCGTATGATTTCCTTTGATTTCTAAGCGTTTGAAAAGGCAAGTGAATTATCTTCATAAGACTTACCATCTCTGTTAAGAACCAATTTGGAGATGAATCAGGAAATTATTTTTTTTCGGAAATTTGTGAATTATACAAAAATAGCTGCTTTTCCATCAAAATTAGTGTAACATCAAATTTCGGAATCAGCATGATATGAGTGGGAAACGATTTAACTAGTGTTAACATCAATTATTTTTGGAAAACTGGTAAAATCATAAATCTCGTTATGATGACAATAAATTAATCCTGTGTTTCAAAATGTTTTATTATTACGAATGTTTATTTCAGTGAAACATTAGTTCCGTGCAAAGATTTTGACTTTATTTAGCAGAAAGTATTTATTCTATGCAGTAAGTCATACAAACGTCTTCTTTCATAACTACGCTTCTCAAATTTAATAAATGAAGTTCATTTTATTGGCGTAAAACACTTTCTCTGAAGTTTAAGCAGATTTAGGAAAAAAATTTTCTTTGAATTAAATTGGTAGCATTTTTTGCAGCAAAACTGTCCTTAATGCTGGAAGCATGAATCTGTCAACAGTATCGTTTTTTTGCGAATAGGTTCAAACGATTACATGAAAAATTTCATTGCGTAAAATACAGCGAATCGCCCTATTTTTGATTTCAGATTCATCTTTATTGTTGTGTTTAAATCTTACAGTGTATAACCAGATTTAATTTAGGTACCCCTTGACGATAGAAGAAAGGCCAATTGCAAAGGATAAATCTGGTATATTTTGG